GGTAGGCAAGAGCGCCCCCCAACAAATCAATGTGGAAAAACGAACATTAGACAGACCACACTCAGGGGTGCATTTCCTACAAGAACATTCTAGCTCTTCTGCCCTTGCTATGGTGTCCTACTTTTCAGGCGTTAAAACCCTGCAAGACAGGCAGGGTGGGGAGGGTGACTGTGCCCACGGCACACTCGCTGCTCTCTTGGAGCTGACGGGCCCTTAACATTTGTCCAAGTATTTTTAGCTTCTTATTGTATTTTCATATTATGAAAGTGACATGTATTCGATGTAATGATTTAAAAAAACAGAAAAGTAAAGAGAAGAAAAAAAATTATTCATGCTATCATGGCCTGGGGTTAAGATTTTGGTGTCTGTCTTTCTGATCTTTTTCCATGTGAAATGTAATTTACCTCTCAATAATGTCACTTCATATACTTTGCTTATATATTAATATTTTTATGTCATGAAATTTATGCCAAATGATTCCTTGGCATAAATTAGACATTCCTTAGAAATTATAGAAACTTAAAGACAATATCAAAACAACGAGATCATAAGACAAAGACCATCTACTGGATATTTTTTGGCACGAGACTGTTTTGGAGTTTTTGTAAACTATTAGGTTTATTGAGCACCATAAACCATGAGCTTTGGAAGAACTTTGGAGACATAACAGGATAATCTGTATAGAGTAGGAAAATCATAAAAATAATTTGCCCTTTTTTCCCCATGAAAATCCGTATTCGTTAAATGATTTCTTAGAAGGAAGTGTGCTAAATGGAGATGCGCTGGTCGAGAATCCCGTACTATTCTGTAGCTTTCCACAATGTGCTCGAAAGACTACATAAGCATGACATAATTAAAGAGAGGCAAGAACGCACGTGAGGCTTACTGGGAACGAAGGCAGTTATTTAAGGAAGGAAAAATGAGCTACCCACAGGAAGGCATAAACTCTGCCAATGCGGTAAGAGTGGGAGCCACGGTCTCAGGTGTCCATAAGCTGAGGGATCCCCACACCGGGTGCTTCTGTAAGAGCAACACGAGGAAGTGAAGGGTCTCCATCAGTTAATGGTGTTGTTATGATTTTACTGGGGGAGATCAATGTCAATTAAAGAAATCACTAGATAGAACATGATGAAATAACGGTAGAAGGATTTGGCCTATAAGATGGAGGACAATAATAAACATTTTGAAAGCTGAGTCTAGAGGAGAAAAACCCAAACGCTCCAGTGTTTCATCCTGTGATTTCCCCAGATCAGCAAGATATTGTTTGAGCAGGGACTTGCTTGTGTTACTGTTCTTTTAGACCTGCTAGGTAGCCAGAGGGGTGTGCCTCCCTTGAGGGTGCACTAAGAAGGGACTTCTCCCTTTGTCACAAAGCCCAGAGGGCTTATGTGGTTTCATGGACTAGAGTGTAGGACTGGACCTTATTTACCCTCCATGTGGTTTATAACACCTTGTGCATGCTGTAGGTATGAACGAATAAATGAATGAATGAGAGAACAAACACTGCATAAAAGTGGAAAAGCTTTCTGATTTTGAGTTCTCAGTTTGGGCTTAACTTCTAGAGTGGAGGCATGAATATGGATTTCAAAGATGCATGAGCACATGGTGAGTGATAAAGAGTCAGAGTGATTCATTACACTGGGATTTTCCCACCTACAGGACCCAGTCCCCCAGGGTCCCCCTTCCCTCAGGTCGTCTCAGCAGGCAATCCCTACACTACGCCCCCCTTCCCAGTGATGAATGTCAGAGGCATTTTAGCAGGCTGTCCAGTGCCCAGAGTGGGGTCAAGTAAAAGTCAACACCCACCCTTATTAGGTGGTCCCTGCTGGCACAGAGAGCAGACCTCTCAAGCCACAGCCTCCACGGGACAGTTTCCTTATCTCCGGGAACATCTTTGGTCCCTCCTCACTTTCGCACACTGCTACTTGCTGCCCTGCTCTGCTGTGGCCACGAAGGGAGCTGCTCCCAGGGCCAGGGTGGTCAGGGGGCAGAGGTCTCTCTTCGGGAAACCTCAAGGGCCTGAAGCTGCCCCTGGAGAAGCAGTCCGCACACTGAGTTTCTAACCAGTCACACGTCAACAGGGAGCAGAGGACAGGTAGGCTGTGTTCACACAGGAGCTGGGCTGACCATTCTGACTTTCTGGAACTGGACTTACACGGTGGGGGATATACGTGATGTCAGTCACCAGTGCAGGAGAAATTCATAGCATGTATTTGTTTAGTGATCCCAAAGGTTTTAAATTGTAGTGTGGTTTTTACTTAGTGACTACTGAATGCTAAGAAATTGGTTATCATTCACCGATTCACAGTATTTACATCAAACCATTTTCTTTGTTAACTTCCATCTACCTCTATGAACTATAAGCTTACTGGAATGGAAAAGGGCTCTTCATTTTGGGGTTCTCCATAGCACTGACCACAACACCTCATGCACACTGGTTGAATGAATGAAGGAATCTGTTGGGTGAACGACTCTGGGATTCCGAGTCTGTACACTTCAGGATGGGACAGATTATCAACCATGCTGACCTCCCCTACACTACGCCCATGGTTCCGTGCCCCACGTGGGCACCTGCATGGCCCCGTCTCTCTCTTGGCGGCTGGGTCTGGCCAGGCCTGTAATGCATGTGAGTTCTCACTCCCAAGCACTCACCTGCAAACAAAGCCCAGGAGAACTTGAGCCCCTAGGGGCTGCCGTCGCTGAGGCTGTTCTAAGGAATATTAAAGTGAGCTCTTCTCAGTACGTGTTTTTGTTAGTTGAGGTATATTTAGATTACACTCAGTAAAAAAGGTTTTAGGGGTGTAGGTCTATGAGTCTGACAAATGTACACAGTCACGGACCCACGGCCACAATAAAAACGGAGAGTACCTCTGTCACCCCGCAGTTCCCTCTGCAGTCGGTTCTCTTCCCCGCCCCCCGCCTTGGACCACTGAGCTGAAGTTTTCACTCTCAGTCACGCCTTTTCCACAATGCCATTCAGTGCCCATTTTATGTGAACCCTTCTCCCTCTGTCAAAGGGGTTGCTACCCTCCCCCTGCACCTCCCCCCTGCGTGCAGTGGTTCCTTCCAGACCCCTTGGCGGGTTCCTGTAACTTTCGTCTGCTCCGGAAGTGTGGGTGTTTTCAGAGCCCTGGCCGGTACTCTCCTCTCACTTCCCTGGTGCTCATCTGTGAGCTCCCGTGTTTGATGCCCGCCTTCATTCGTGTCCTTAGAGCCCCACGGGCCATCCTTCCCGCTCCTCTCTTCCGAGTGCTGTGTCTGCATGTCCAGTGAACTCCCAGCCCCTTCCAGACAGCTTGTGAACGCCCCCAGCTCTTCGTGTCCAGGCCAGATTCACTTCTGGCCCTGCCACCCGCCTTCCTCTTGTGTTCCTCCCCCGACCGATGGCATCACCACCCTCGGTCATGCTAGAGGTATCTCCCCTGCACCCATAAGTAGGTGGTTCCCAAAATATGCCTCCAATTGGCGTCTCTCTGCATACCTACTCTCCCGCAGCCCCAATGCTGACCATGGCTCCTTCTGCCCCAGCTGATTAAACGTGCCTCCTGGGTCTGGGCCTGCCCTCTGAACACTCTCCCCATTGCTGCCCAGACCAGACCACATTCTTCTTTGCTTTCTTACAAAAATGAAACCAAGCAAACAAACACAAAACCCACGCTATGCTTACTCCCCAGCACACATGAGAGAAAATCCAAGTGCCTTCGGATGGCAGCGGAGACCCTTAATGGTTTGGCCCTGTCTTGTCCTCCCCATCCCCTTCCTCAGCCTCCCCACCCGTCCGACTCTGGCCACGCCGGCCCACCCTGGGAAGGGCCACCCTTTCCCTAGTCAGAGGGTGGGCCCTTTAAGAAGCATTCTGGAGCCTCCTCTCCTTCCCCAATCCCTGCTCCCCCTCCCCCTGGCAGGACTAGTCACTGCCCACCCTGTGCTCTGAGGGCGTTCAAAAGGCCGACACCTCCTGTCCAGGAGCCTCTGAGTTGTGGGAAGCCACACCCCTCACCCCGCCCTCTCCTCTTAGGATCCCCAGGCCTTGAGTGTAGTGGGAATTAAAAAACACGTCTTGAAAATGTTTTGCCTAATACTACATGAAATATGTGTGAACATTAAGATAAGAACTCTAATATTTTGCACTTTTTGCCTATCCGTTGCTTGTTTGCATAGTAACAGAGCCACATGGTTTATTAAGAACATCGTTATATTTCCTATTTGGGCTTGGATCAGTTTGTAACGACAGTAACAACAATAATGATAATGATGATCTAGAAATTTTGGTCTAAATGTAATCCAGGAGCACTGCCATGAAGGGAAGTCAAATTTCGTCCACTGATGGTCCCCAAGGGAAGACCATCATATCATTTCTTGTGTGGCTACAATGAAGCATTTTACATATGAAGCCCATTATCACGGAATTTCAGTGCGTTAATAAGTTTTCATTGCTTTGCCGTCTCCCCTCCACCCACAGAGAATCTGAAATAACCTAATGATGATCCCACAGCAATGCAGCGCCATTACAACAACGTCAAAACAAAAACTCATGTGACTTGCAGAGCTTCCCACGTGAGAAACAGGGTACAGAGTGAAATGCAGATTCCCAGCCCTTGCTGGGGGCTGAGCTGGTCCTTCCCGGCAGGAGCAGCTGCCTCCACTGACCCTACACTTCAGGGAAATCTTACTGTGCTGAGTGCAACGATGTGACGACCAAGGAGCACTGCACTGAGCCATCCTACCACTTAAACGGCAGACTCAACTCTCCCAAGTCACGCTCTTCGGTGCTTGATAAGCAGAATCAGTTTTATAACTCGAGGGATCCTGAACACATGATCCAAACAAAAAGAAAAATCCAAACCACAACGGCAGAGGTGTTTTTACGGTGGAAGGAAATGTTTAGAAAAGTAGCAAATACTTCCCGACACCTGATCTGCAGAGAGCGTTGGCAGAACAAAGGATGTTAGGTATCCTGACACACAGAGGGGAGGAAGCTTTTGGAGGACGTTACTCACCGTTCCAACCAGAGGGTAAATGAACCCAGCGCCTATGCTGGCCCGGACATCGCTGATGGGTAAAATGAAATCCCGGGGCACACCTTTCTTGTCGGGTTGGTGAGAGAGAGAAAGGTGGGTCTTTGCCATGCAGATGGGCAAATTTCCAAAACCCTGTAAGAAAGGACAGGAAATGTGCTCACTGGGCGTACATGTTAGTCCCCTGAACTTGGCTCCACAAAACCCCTGCAGCCCAGGTCCAGGCACCCAGTGGGGACTGTTACTACCCATTCAGTCACTGAGCAAGCAGATGGGATGGAAACCCCTCCCCCAGCAGTGGGCTGGGGGGGTCTACTGCTTCTTTTGGAGAATTCTCTTTACAGGAGGGCAGCACTGTGTGTGCCTGGGGGAAAGTGGGCTATTTCTAGGCAAAGCAGCAGTAGCAGCAGCTGCAGAAATCAGTTTCCAAGGATACTAATATCTGGGATTCAGAAAGGTAATTTGGAGAAAGACTTCGTAACGAGGCTTTCAGGCACATGGTTCATTCATTCTTGGAGGCTGTTGGGAAGCAAAGGGCCCCTTTGTGTTGGTTTATGAATCATGGCTATTGGATCTGCGATTACATTATAGGAACCAAGATGAGGTCACTACTTAAGCTTCTTATTTTTAAGGACCAAAGGCTTCGCCTGACCCAGTACTCCGAAGGTGAAAGAGCAGGAAGTCATGTGTGGTGTCTCACAAAAAGGACAGTGTCCTCCCAGCCTGGTTCTGATTAAAGGGTACACAGTGGCTCTTTAGAGACTTTGCTAATTAAGGGCAACCACATACTTGACACATAACTTTTAAGGAATATTCTCTGATAGGCAGACATAAAAGGAATGCAATCTTCAGAGGTGACGCGTGCAGAATTTCTTATGATTCAACCTAAAACTACTTGAAGCATTTTTGAGTGTAATGGATTGGGAGTGGATCTCTTTCCTTTGGAAATGCTGTAATACTGTTACATGCCGATCAGCTCCTGCCGGGGGGTGGGGGGGCACAGCGGCCTGCCCTGTCAAAACGGTGCCCAGGATTTTGGGTTTCAGAGATCTCTCAAATATTTAAATCATTTTTTAATTTTATTTTTCAGTTACAGTTTGCATTCAACACTATCTTGTATCAGTTTCAGGTGTATAGCACAGCAGATAGACAATGGAAATAATTTTAACAAACTCATGTAGGTTTGCCAGTTTAAAATTTTGCCAGTAACAGAGAATAAAAACAAACAACTCAATATGCCATATACCATTGCCATATTACTTCATAAAAGAAAGTGCTTTTTAAGACTGAAAAAACAAGGGAAGGACCTAATATTAGAATAAGTGATAGTCCTTAAATATTATTAAGAATTCAATAAAAAAACCTTCCCATGACAATGACTTAAACATTTCATTGACATGAGTGTTAATTTCACCAGAGAACAATGCTTGAATGTACAGTAATGTTCAGAAATCTTTTTTCCCCCCTAAAGCACAAGTCAAGTGCATACATGGAAAATTCCAAGAACGAATGAGTTGTTGGTTGACTTAGGAAACCTGGGAAAAAACTGATTGGCCTTAACTAAGGTATTTATCAAGACGTCAAATATGACTAACGAATAGGATTTAGGAGTCAGGGAATTTTAAAAAAGAGCCTGGTGATGCTCATAATGAAGCTGTTTGCCACCAAGCTTTCAAGTGCTTTGACTTCTATCTAGCAAACTGGGTGGGGATTCAAGGCACATGGTCCTTCTGCTCAGGGTGGCTACATGTGCTGCAGTGAAATCCATCACCCAGACTGCTCTGGGGCCAGATAAGGGCCCATCCTGCTGAATCACAGGCACCTGCACAGCTGCTTGGAGGAGAGAACGGAGCCTTCAATGCTGGTGAACCATCTTAGCACCAAGCCAAGGAACGAATCGTATAAAAAAAAATACCATCCTGACCCCGTCTTTATATGCTGCGCTTGTATTTGCCTAACTTGGGGCCATGCTAACGTTTTTAAGGTAGTTAGAGACCTGAAATGAGGACAGAGTATGACAGATCACCTAGATCTGACCACAGGCCCACATCTAAGCATAGTTTCAATGCTTCTGGCTCAGTGGCAGGGTGGAGACTAAAGAGCACAGACACCACCCACAGCAGACATATTTACAACCACAAAAGTCTACGATGCATGTATCAAAGGGTAGATGCTGTCGCCATAATGTTCCAGGTACCGTCAGTACCCTACACCCAAGGACAGTATTTCAGTCTTGGTGAACCACAAAGTACATTAAGACAGGTTCAGCTGGTGAGACATATCCAAGTCTTCAATGAAGGTGAATCCTTCAAGAGCCTAAGTGGATTTCCCCCCTAAAAGTGGAACTTTTACCTGCTGCGTGTAACGGTCAATTTTGGATTGTGCCTCGGGAGAGAGCTCGATGTCCCTGGCCCCGTAGACAGCCTGGGCAATGGTTCTTATCTTTTCCACAATGGGAAGCTGGAGAAACACAAATGACAGCAAATCGTGATCTGGTCAGAGAATTAGGAAAACGCAGTGAGAGTTTTTGCAGTGGTTTACAAGTCCCCACCAGATTATCTCTTCAGCAGCGCTGGCATTTGAAGCAAGCACTTTTGTCCTCTGTCACCGTCACAGTCCTAACATTTTTGGATCGGAGGTCAAGCAGTGAATAAGAAGCCTTAGATGTCTAGCCAATTTAGAGGATGCTTATCTAGTTAATCATGTTTATCCACTGCATTTTTAAAAATGTAGTTTTTCCTATGCTTTTTAATGGTCTTGTAAGTCAGAACAAGAGTCTCCTAACTCAACAGCGAGTGCTGATTACTAAGTGGGTCTCAACTCCAGTTATACAGCAGAGAATGTAGTAATACTAAGGAACAGTTTATTTTTTTGTGAGCAGGAATGGGTTGAGATTTTAATATGAATGCTGATGTGATCAAACACTATTGGGAAATCAAAGGTTGACGCTAGAGTCGCTTTAGCATATCATGAGAAATCTTGGAGAATGGGAAGAATCCACGAAGATTAGATACAGACAAATAAGCGTGTGAAGAGAAGATGAAAAATCTTCTATAACATTAAATGGAAAATATGAATGTGGACTGCTGGCAAAGTACAAAAAGCCATCTTAAACAAGAATGGTTCATTAGGAAAGAAATACACCACAGATAAAGTGATTCTTGGGGTAAGCAAAGCAGTTCATAACATCGTTCAGAATTTTGCTGTGGGTAGAAAATACCGGTGTAATGCAGTTAGCGGGCTTACTCCTGGGTGAACAGCTGCTGGACCAAATGCGGAGAGGGGACACCACCAGGGAGCACAAGTCCCGTGGCCTGCCCAAGGACTTCACCTGGCAACGGCCAACCGTGTGCTTGGATAAATTACTGCTGATACACGCAGGAAAGACACGTATCCGACAGGGGAAAGCAAAAGGTAACTCCACCCTCCCAATCTGATAGAACTCAAAGTGCTTTGAAGTATGTTTTTCATTACCATAGTTTTTATTACTGTAAAGTTGTTCTGTGGTCTGGGGCTAAATATTGGACATTTCAACAAATGAAGAAACTGAAGATGCAAGTCATTATAATCTCTCAGTGAAGCACATAAAAGCGGATCTGACTCACTGGAGAGAAATCCTCTGTTCACGGGTGAGGGAACTCGATACCGTACAGATGTCAGTTCTCACAAACGATCTCTGGGTTCAATGCAATTCCAGTGAAAACCCCAAGAGCACTCCTGGTTACTTGGCCAATCTGTTCTAAAATCCATCACAAAGAGTAATGGCATGCATAGGTAAGGTAACTTCAAAAATAAATAAAACCAGAAGAACAAAGGCAATAGGACTTGCCGTCTCATGTTACCAGGTATCAATCACACTACTGAACTGTGGTAAGTAATTCCACGTGGTGCTACCACAGAACTAGATGAATCAGTCAGTGGGAGATAAGAAGGAACCCAGACAGACACCTCAGCAGGTACAGGATAGCACAGAGCAGAAACGGCGTAAAGTAGGGAAAGGACTGCCTTTCCAAATGACTTTCGGCTGGAAGGAAATAAAATTGTATTCCTACCACACACCGGGCCCCCCAATAAATCCAATATGGAATAAAGGCATAAACTTCAAAACTAAAACTTTAAATACTGGAAGAAAACGCTGGGAACTCTATGATCTTAAGTTAGGGAAAGTTTCTTAAACAGGGTAACAATAGAATACATCCTAAAGTTGACTCCATTAAAATTAAAAATTTTTTGTACAAGAAGAGACACTATAAGTAAGTTTAAAAATTGGGGGCAATCTGGGAGAAGATATATGCAAATATTTAAAAGTCAAAAATTAGTTATTAGAAAGGATAAAATATCCCACAGATCAAGAGAAAGAAATATTTAATACTGGGCAAATGGATTATGCCTAATAATTACAGGAAAAAATGCTGAATTGTATTAAGTAATCAAGGAATGCAAATTAAAAGAACGAAAAACCAATTCACACCCATTAGATAAGCAACACTGAAACATATGAGAAAATCATGTGTAGGTCAGGAGGTGGGAAAATGATCCTTCTATGTGCTCTCAGTTGAGATGCTAATGGTCTAACCTGCCGTGAAAGCTTCCTAACTGGTCTCCACTTCTAATACCTCTTCTATACCATAAGTCTAACCTTCCTAAAATGTATTTAAAAATCTTCAGCTTCTCATGGCTTACTAAAGAACAAAACCTTGTTCTGGCACTTAAGCATCTGACTGAGATGTGCTCTGAAGCATCACTAGATAAGCACCCCATCTTTAAATGTCCCCCTATCTTCTTGTTTCTGGGGCCTGCACGTGAAGTCCCTGCCCAGTAATCTTCAGAGATCAACCTCTGCTACAACTTCCTGAGCTCTCGAAGATCTCTCCCCAAGGCCAGCTTGTCCAGGAAGCCTTGACCGATACTCCTCATGCAGGTAGGCATTCTCTTCTTTGATATCCAGATGCCCTTGTAATGCTCTTACCTCGGTATTACCTGGGACTAGAGGTTCAACAGGGCCTGGCAGTGAGCAGCTGCTGGCAAACCCCACGTTATCTTAGGGTGCACCAATGGACCTCAAATGGTACCAGTCCCAGGATCAAAGGCTGACACCGAAATCTACCGGATGCCAAAAGGTCTTTTGTGAACCACCAGGAGAAATCAGAGAATCTCCACTGCTGGAAGGGACAACCCTGGAAAGAAATGATTATCATCTTCCTGGAAGGCAGAATATGAAAGAAGGACAGAAATTGGAAGTAATCTTTAGCCTAATGTCTAAGGAAAAGCTGTAACAACCAGAGCTGCCTCACTAAGTAGTGACTGTCCATTCAAGGAGAATTCGGGGTCAGGCGGGTGTGGTGCCAGGAATGTTGTAGCCAGAATTGCTGCGTGCGTGTAATGTTGAGTGAGGCTGGGCTAGAGACATAACCACGAGTGTAACTTCGAATGTAAAAGATTCAATGTTCATATTAGCTGAAGAATAAAGAATGGTTTATCAACCCTTTGAGGTCAAGGACAACCTCTTGTTCACTTAGAGGTGGGATATGAGACAGCCCCTAGAGTATACAGTATGTCCTCAAGATACAGTTGAACAAATGAGTGAATGCCTCTAAATTTCCTATTGACTAAACATGAATTCCACGTGGTTCAATAGTTACAAGAGATGATAAGCAAGTCCAGGCAATGATGTGCTCAAGACAACACTGAGGAGGCTTTTTCCATGAACCTACGATCTCACATCGGCCTGAGTTGACTGGCACGGAAAGGCTTGCTGCTGATGCTGCACTTAAGCTAATACAATCTCCTCTTAGGTCAATAAATGCCTGGCAAGAGCAGCCCTTTTTAAGAAATATAAGTTAATAGGAAGCTGAAAGGTATGTCCAGCACCCACAGAGCAAGCACGATGACCATGCTTAGTTAGGGAGGTCAGTTCTGAGGATACGGCGCTCCCCAGGCAGTGTCCCCTCGGCATCCGGTCTCTGCCCGTACCCTGCCCCATGCCACCCCGCCCTGACCCTGGGCCACTCAGCCCTCTGTGGGGTGCAGCACTGCTGGGTGGCTGTTGTGCGGCAGGAGGGCTAACACGGTCCCTTCTTAACTTAGTTAAATCATGTCGCCTCTCTAAAGTTGTATCCTCACCCCTGAGATAGAGACAAGAATACTGTACATCATTTCACTGCCTCGAGGAAGCAACACAGACAAAGTATTGCAAGTGCCACGCTACACAAACTGTAAGTAATATTACTATGGAGTGTGGGCCATAGGGACTGAAAAGTTCCTATGAAAAGTCCTATGTGTTCTCTGGAAGTAGAACACAATGACAGCAGAACAGGTATCACTACTCACAACATATTTAATGTACTATTTACTGCGCTCTCTGATTTGAAAATACAGTTGGTGAGTGTAACTATTCCATGGGGACGAATGGGTGACTACTGATGGTATCCATTGTAGGTATTGACTGTAGGTAGGCATTTAATCGGTTTATTAGTAGGTTTTAAGTGTGAAAATACTTGTGTCGATAAATATATATTTAATTCTTAATTGTGGTAAGACAGATATAATACAGGATTTACCATCTTAACCATTTTTAAGGGTACAGTATATTCACTTTTCTCAAGTATTCTTAATGACATTCACATTGTTAAGTATTCCCAATTTTCTTAAGTATATTCACATTGTTGTCGAACCAATCTCCAGAGCTCGTTCCATCTTTGGACACGGAAACTGTGCCCAGCAGACACCAACCCCTCGCTTCCCGGCGAGCCCTGCTCTACTTGCTGTCTCTGCGAATCTGACCCCCGGCACTGCACGTAAGTGCAGTGACACACGGACAACGTTTGTCCTTTGCATCTGGCTTTTCATTTAGCATGACGTCCTCCAATTTCACCCGTGTCGTAGCCTGTGTCCAAATTTTCTTCCCTTTTAGGGCTGAATAATTCTTTATTGTATGTATTTACCACACTTTAAAAATCCATTCATCCATCAATGGACACTTGGATTATTTCCTCTTTTTGGCTATTGTGAGTAATGCTGCCGTGAACCTGGCCGGACAGATGTTGTTTCTTGGAGACCCAGCTTTCAATTCCTTTGGGAGTGAGGAAATACAGATTTTTTTTTTTTTGTCAACCACTAAACTGTCTTCCTTTCTAACGTTTATTTGGAAGTGTTTTGGGAATTTCAAGCAGGTGCCAGGCTGACTTTGTGAACTATGTGGTTGCGGTTTCATTTCCTGTAGGAAAACGGCAACTTCCCACAGACGACAGGTGACCCCAACAGAAGGCAGTGCAGACAGCAGGGGGGGCAGTAGCCGGAAGCCCCATTTCTCCTCGCCCTTAGTGTCTGACCCCACCTGCATATATGTTTGGCACTTCTGATGTCCCGACCCTAGTCTTGCTGACCTTGGAGAAGATGAAGATGCTCCCTGACTGGCTTCCAAGGAAAGGACGTAGGGAGAACCCCCCCCCCCCCGTGTG